ATATATATATATATATATATCTTTCAAATCATGTATCTAGACAAAATCCTTGTTGTTAACGAAATCTTCCGAAACTGTCACATGGATGATACCCATGAATCATGATTATCGGTGCGTATCCTTTTTCAGCCATATTTATAGCAAAGTTGTCGCATAAAAAAGGGGAATTTCCTCAAGTCACTTCACCGAGCTTGGATTTGAAGCCAAGGAACCCCAAAGTTGACCATCTTGCCATCCCTTTTTTGGTTTCAAAAGGAAAAAAAGAAAACCCAACCGTTCTTCGCATAAAAAAAAAAAAAAAACCCCTGCAAGAATGCCTTCTTTTGATCTCAAACAACTTCACGAAAACCTATCTACTCACTCTACACCTTGGCAACGATCCTTTCAATTCTGGGCTAGGGCTGCTGATATCTACACTGGTTATAAGGTGGGCCCAATTACCAAAATACCCAAATCTTCTTGCCTCAGGTTATTGAGTTTTGTTCCTGATTTTGGGTCTTTGTGTGTGTGTTGTTAGGTGTTTCAAGTTAGGGTTAGTTTTGAGAAAGATGTGCAGAAGGCAGAGGAAATGTGGGAGAGACACCATGAACATGCTGCTGATAAAATTTATTCCATGTGTTATGATATGGGTGGGTTCTTTCTCAAGGTTAGTTTAATTTCAAGTATTCTCAAATGGGTATGATTCTTTATACCTTCTTGTAAAAGATTTTGATTCTCTGTTCTTTTTTTTCTCCTTCAAAAAGTTCATGTTTTCTTTAATGGGTGTTGATCTTTATCCATTTATGGGCCATAAAGATTTAAATGAATATGGGGTTTTCTAAAGTTGGGTCCATCTTTATGCCATTTTATGGACCATAAAGGTTCAAATCAATATGGGGTATTCTAAAATTGGGTTGTATGATGAATTGGATGGATGGAGTGGAGTTGGTTGTAGGATTATGGTTTTGTTTTCAAGAAATTTCAAATTTTCTTTAATGGGTGTTTATCTTTATGCCATTTTATGAACCATAAAGGTTATCAATATGGGGTTCTCTAGAAATTTGGGTTGTATGATGAATTGGGTGGGTGGAGTGAAGCTAGTTGTAGGATTATGGTTTTGCATTGAAAATCTTCAAATTTTCTTTAAAGGGTGTAAATCTTTATGCCATTTTATGGACCATAAAGATGTAAACCAAAATGGGGATTTCTGAACTTGGGTGGATTGGAGATGGTTGTGGGATTATGATTTTGTTGTACTGTTAAAGGTTGAGAGTCCTTATTCGAAATGGGGATTCATTTAGGTTGCTCAAGTCGTTGGGAAGCCGGACTTGGCCCCAGCTGCATGGGTGAGGAAGTTGGTAACTCTATGTGATCATGCACCTGAAACCCCATCTAATGTTGTGCGGCTTGTTCTCGAGAAGGAGTTGGGTAAAACGGTTGATGAAATGTTTGAAAGATTCGAATGGGATCCTATCGGCTCTGCTTCAATTGCACAGGTTCATCACTTGAATACAACTCAAAACATAATCCCTTATTCAGCAGTTTAGAAATTAATGCCCAAAAGTTTGGCAACTCTAATGTTGATTAGTGTAGTCAAAAAATGTTGCTAAGCTGTGTTTGGCAAACTAGCTTATAAGTTAGTTGTTGGGTGAAAAAGCTAGGCGTTGGCTGATAAACTAGTCATGTTTGGTAAAAACTAGTTGATAAAGTTAGATGACGATGTAAAATGACCTAAAAAGCTAGGGCTTGTGGTCATTTATGTAAAATAAAAGGGCCATATTTGAAAAAAAAAGTATAAAAATAGTCCCTGAAGCTTGTTGAAGCACTACTTGAAGCTAGCTTTTCAAAAAGCTAGCTTACAGCTTACCAAACGGGATTTTTTCAATAAGCTCAAAAAATAAGCTAGCTTATAGTTGCCAAACGTGGCGTGAACCCGAATTTGGCCTTTTTATAAGCAAAGCATTAGATTCTCCTCACATATGTTACATATGCCATATAGGTTCATCGAGCTAGGCTGAAAGGTGATAAGAAAGATGTCGTTGTGAAGGTATGTGCACGTTAATGGTGGATTTGCAGCCTCGTTTTTGTTAGACATTCTAAGTATTATCTACTCTATAGGTACAACATCCCGGTGTTCAAGATTTGATGATGACAGATCTTCGGAATTTACAAACTTTTGCATTATGCTTACAAAAGACGGATCTCAAGTTTGATCTGTTCTCCGTATGCAAAGAAATGGAAAAACAGGTGAACACTAATTCTGCTCGGGTATGGGGTTTATGAAAATAGTTGCGTTTTGTACGGTATTTTGAGCTTTAAATCTTTGTAATCCCTTTTGAATTGAAGCATCATCATGAGTATTAGACTTTTGAAACGTAAAAACTGAACCAAAGTAACCTCGTCGATCCCATGTAGGATGTATGCAGATTTTACTATTTTGCCCTTTGAAACAGTTGTTGTTTTGGATATATGGATAATGATGTTATGCTCATTGGTGCCATTCAAGATAGGGTATGAATTCGATTTTAAGAGAGAAGCCGATGCTATGGAAAGAATTAGAAGTTTTCTAAGCGAAAACAATAGAAAGACGGTTGTTAAAGTGCCACGGGTGATCCGGGGTGTGGTCACGAGGTGAGTATGTACCCTTTTCTTGTTATAAAACGATGAACAAGAAATATTACTCTTTAAAGCATTTTTGTGAATCAAGACGCTCATCCGTCCCAAAGTAAGTGTCCATGTTTCTTTTTTAGTTTGTTCCAATTCTACCCTTTATTTTGACATGGAGAAATTCATTACTCCCGCTATTATGAAGGGTAAAATTGTTATTTAGTTAATTAGAAAGTGTAGTAATTAAATTTCTTTCAAAATGTGTGTGTTTTTCGTTAGTACATTTATTTTGGACAGAGGGAGTGTTTCATAAATCAATTATAACAAAGCCAGTATATCATACTCAAAAGCAAGGCTTGGGAACCACAAGGGTGGTGCCTGATTGGTTTGAGCTTGGCTCCAAAGGTCAAAAGTACCAGGAGGTCTCAGGTTCAAATCCAAGGAGGAATAAAAATCCTCTTGTGGCCACGGAGGTTCAAATGCGGTGACTCCGGGCTATCTGCAAAGCAGGTGGTCACCCTGGGATTAGTCAGCTCGCATAGCGGGTTGGATATCCAGGTTAATAAAAAAAAAACAAGGCTTGAGAGGGGTAGGATGTACGCATACTTTTGGGGTAGAACGGATGTTTCCGCATATATAGAATCAATCATGTTAATTACATATTTTGTATTAATCCACCATTTTCTTGTTCTAATTCGAGTAGGAGGGTCTTGGTGATGGAATATATCGATGGAATCCCGATCTTGAACCTCAAAGATGAAATTATGAAAAGAGGAATAGATCCCGATGGTAAGATCGCAGCAGCAGCAAAGCAGTAAGCTCCATAGACCCCGAGAGTATGAAACTTTTGTTTGTCGAATTTCTTATACTCGAACAACTTCCCCTTGCTCCATGTTTCAGTTTCATGCTTCAAATTCGAAAGCTTTTTCGTTTTCTTAACGTTTAAGACAAAGTAGGCGTCCGTTTCGGATGCTTGAGGGTGCGATTCTTTAGGAATCCCGCTGGTGTAGCGTTGTATTTCTTATTGCAACGTTGCTTTCGACAGTTATAAAGATGTAACTCTAAATAACACTCGTCGTTAAATGCAGGAACATCCTAAAAAGTTTGACTCTTGCGTATGGACAAATGATACTCAAGAGTGGTTTTTTTCACGCAGATCCCCACCCCGGAAATATTCTCATTTGTAAAGGCTCGGAGGTATGTAACACGGCAAAAGTTGCGTATTTCGCTCCATGTCTCGAAAACGGCCTTGTTTCCTTTCTGGGACGACCCGAGAAAATTGCAACATTTCTTTTTTTGGCAAGTATTTGAATCCATATCTACTTGTTTGGTTTTTTGCTTAGGTTGCATTGCTTGACTACGGACAAGTCAAAGAACTTCCTAACCCGTTGAGGCTTGGTTACGCTAACTTGATTCTTGCTATTGCCGATAATGATCACATGCGGGTATCCGAGGGCTTTAGGTTAAAATTGTACTTTGCAGAACTTCTTGTGTATTTACTAGCCTTCTGTGCGGATAATAAGGGTGTTCTTACGTTCAATAACTAGATTTCCATACTCGTGAACTACTAGAGGCGTGTTAATGGGGTAGTTAACACGGGTTTTAATGCACCTCCATCGGAGGCTAAATGGGCAACGATGTCCTACAGTATCGAGTTCTGGGCAAAGATATCCCACGTGGTAGATCTTGGCTCTGATACCATGTTAGAATTTGTTGGAACCCCATTAGATTACTCTTCAAAAACGCCCTTTAGGAGAGGAGGGTTTCAACATATATTTGAAGAGAAAGTGTCCAAGTCTGGATGATGCGAGATTCTAACAAGAATAACAAATCTAAATATACGTGCAAAAGATACGAGGTGCTTTGTCATCATCTAATACTAGATTTTTATGTTCGGAAATACCAGGGAGCTCGGAATAGATACCGTGAACCTATGCGAGAATGAACGGGCAGAATTGTTTAACCTGGCACAAGTTATGTTCGACACAAAGCTGCCGCCCGGAGTCAAGATGTTGCAGCCGTATGCAGAGGATGCTACGTTAAAGAAGATTGCTGTTCAGGTCTGTGTTCGTATATCGGAATTATTGTCGTCTGAGTTTCATGAAATTGGCTGATTAGAGCACCTTCTACGGTTTCTCCTTAATTTCTCCAAAATGGAAATAAAAATAGGATAAAAACTATGAAATATTCATTTTCTCCATTTTAGACAATATATTGGAGATGCTCTTTAGTTTATCTTCATCATGTTATAGCTTTCGGGTTTTGCATTTGGAAGTTAACGATAATCGTTGTGAATTTAGTCCTTCCCAGAGGAGCTGTTTTCCGTTCTACGCACAGTGCACTTGTTGAGAGGACTTAGCGTCGGTCTTGGACTCAACTACTCGTGTGCCGAGGAGTGGCGACCCATAGCCGAGGAAGCTCTGTATCTTTCCGGCAGACTAAGAGGTTTGCTCTATACAAATCTTTAATGATTATTTTGAATACATAATATTTATATACAACAAATACACATGCAACACGCCTCACCGAGTTTGAACCCCTGATCTCCAAATGGTTAACGTCTCTTCTGCTATTTCAGCCGAGGATCTGAAGTCCAAAAACCGTCGGAAATGGAGGTTTTTCAGAAGATGATCGATCATCGGACCACTGTAGTTACAGATCATTCGGTTTCTATTAAGTTTGATAAATTATCCATTTGTTAGAATCATTCAGTCATAGGGGCTGTTTGGCAATTGCTGAATAATTTGGTGCAGAATGATTAAGTGGTCAGAATGATTAAGAGGCTCTCATGATATAGTGCAAAATGAAATATAATTGTTTGGTAATTGTGTACAATGAAATTAGGGCTCTTAATGGTTAAGGGAGATCCAGGATACAAAATCATTCAGAGGGTTTTAGAACAATTAAGAGATAAACATTTTTTTTTGCCAAACAAGATTCACCTCTTAACGATTCAATGGAACTATTAAGATGTAAATAAACAACTCCATAGTTTTTTTAAGGCGAGAACTGCACAGTTGCAGGTCTTGCAGCAGGCCAACCGGTCATCATGGTTTTATGGGAGAAAAATTACGTTTTTGAAGAGTGACACCATATAGTTTTTGAAACTGAAATATTAATACAAGATTTTTATAGCTAAGATGGTAAGTAAATGCTTATGCCTTTGTACAAAGTCTCTTAAATGTAAAGATAAGGACCAACCGATGAATTTATACTAATATTGTGAAAAAATAAATTAGACATTTTTTATAGTCAAATTATGCCACCACTTAGATTTTTTTTCTAGCCCGCCTCTGGTCCATCCTATAGGAACGTTAACCGGTCTCGATCCATTCTCCATAAGCGATAGCTGGTCTCGGTCCCATCCTCTAGAAGCATTGGCCGATCCAGTGTAACCGTTATAACCGGTATTCAAAAGAAAATATTAGGTTTGATCATGAACTGGTTAATTTATCTTGTCTATTTTTTTAGTAGTAATTATTTTTGGTGTATTAATATTAAAAGTTATGATTTTAACATTGTTATTAATAATTTTTCTTCGATCATATAATAACTTTTCGTTATGTGGTTTGCAATTTATTGTTGTTTACATCCTTTAGATTAACTTCATCAACAATGTACCGTTAAGTATAAGTGATAAAAACAACAATGAATGTAAACCACATGGACCAAAAAATCAATGACTTTATAAACCATAGGGATGAAAACCATAATTTCAAAAGAATAAGGACGAAATAAGCAATTTTTAGCAAATCATATGGATTAAAAATGTACTTCACTCAAAGAATTGGACATGAAGTACAACTATAGGTAAAAGTTGAGGGACTAAACTTGTAGTTTACTAAAAAATAAAAAGGAAAGGGGGCAACGCAAATAGCCCTAGTTAAGCCGATACAACCTTTCCCGCTTACAAATTTCTAATCCGATAATCGGAAAAACATTTACCGCCAATTTCTCTCTCTATCTCTTTCATCTGCTCGGCTGTGAAGCTTTCACACACACGTGAAGTGTGAGAGGGAGGATGTTGGGGAGGGTAAGGGCATGCTCCTTGAGCTCTCTGGAAGTGCTAGAAATGGAGAGGACTCCGAAGCTTCTCAAAGACGATTCTCTCTCAATCTATGGTACTCTCTTCTTCATCTTCTTACGTATCTCTTAGATCTTGTCTTGTGCTTCTTTGTGATTTCGTAATCGTAATTCAAGACCTTATGTTTTGTTATTTTTGAGTCTTGATTTGAAAATTTAGGAATCGGAAGAGGGTTAGATTCTGTGGAATGATCGAGATTTTTTTGTTTGTTACTTAGTTATCCAATCGGATTGCACTTCATGTAAATTAGCATCTGGAAACACAAGCAGATCGAGGTTGATTTTGAATCTGTATGTAACACGAATCATGCAAGTAAATTAACATCCGGAACTTACTTCATAGGGTTTCTGAATGGAATCCATGATTATGTCATACTGCTATTACTGGAAAGAAATGCTCAAGAATCGTTAACTTGTTCAAAGGAAATTGATAACAATGTTCTGAATTGGTGCTTGTATGATATGATTAGTTTGAAATTCTTATTTTTGATTATAATGCTTTAAAATGGTACTTGTATGGCTAGTTCTGAATTAATGCCATTTTCTGTTATGCAGAGAAGACACTGTTGAAGCTACAACAAGGTTCTAAGCGAAATCTAAGTTTAATTCCTGAGGAATCTATGAAGACAGATGATACAAGTCCATCAATGGCTACTAATGAAGCTGCATTGGTGGCAGTAAATGGTTCTGATTATGGTTCCACAGACTCTTCTGATAACCAATCCATGATCATCGCAAAAGAGGAACCTCGTGGGAATTTATCGGTTGTTTACTTGTTTTCTAGATACAAGACGTCTCGAAATGACAATATAAGCTCATCTGATGACAGTGCAATGACAATGGCAATGGCAATGGAGGATGATTACTCTTCTACAAATACATCGCCAGGACTTCAACAGGAATGTATAATTGATTCACTATCTCCTAATTGAATATAAATCTGAATTTGAGCTTATGATACAAAGACTGTCTTATTGTTATTTATTTGTAATCCTATTGTTGTTCAATTCAAAGCAAATGCCAATCTTTTAGGGTGCATTTGGTATACATATATGATTGGATGCATGAGACTGTAGGAGGCCGGTATAAGAATTATTGAGATTTTAAGGTTTTAATTTGACATGGATTACCTATCTTGATATGATATAAAAAATGCATTGTTTGGTAATGATTTAAGTGGTCAAAATGATTAAAAGACTCTTATAATATAGTGCAAAATGAACTATAATTGTTTGGTAATTATTCAGAATGAAATTAGAGTGCTGAATGGTTATGGGATACATAAGATAGAAAACCATTCAGATGGTTTTAGAACCATTAAAAGGTACTTTTTTTTTGCCAAACAATAATCACTTTTTACCGATTCAAAGGTTGCCTCTTAATGGAACCATTAAGAGATAAACAAACAACCCCTTAATCTATCTTAGGGGTTGTTTGGTTGGTTTTTCGTTAAGTCTTAAAAGAATAAAGTTCTCTGTATAGATTAATTGGTCCATATAGATTGATAAAAAGCTTTTGTTTGAGTTTTTTTTCTTAGATGGAAGGAACATGTTTTTTAATCGGAAGGAACAGTTTAGAAAAAAACTTGGTTTTATGCATAAGACTCCTATCCAGAAGCTTTTTGAATAAACCACTTCTTATATTGTTAAGTGATTATCATTCAACCACTTTCTATAGCTGACCAAATAAGATGTGAGTACCATTAAGCTCATTAAGTTGCTAACAAGCAGACCCTTAGCCTGATGAGATGTCAAACGTAGATCAATAGGTTTTTGTATCGTCATATCTTATCCTATCCCACATATCGAAGGCATCCTTACTACATGCAAATGCCTTAAAAAAATTCCTATTGTCTTGCCATTTAGTAACCAGTTTCGGACAAACATAACATAACCCTGAACTCCATTTATGTGGGGATTCACCGGGTTTGTTTGGTTTAACTTTAATGAACGTAATTGCACCGCTAAAAAACTGTTGAAATTAACCGTCACAATCCCCATCTCATACAATAATAAGCCGCAAGAGAACTTTATAACTGAATGGCTTCATCAATAAATTACTTCTCAATGATGCATCACTCTATCAGCCATGGAGCTTGAACCGGAGTCCATTCAGTTAATTCACCTTCTTTGAACCATAGAGCTGTCACGAAAATAAACACGGATATAAGATGCTCATTTTTACAACATAAACTATGCACACGGTTATTTTTCAGACATACGAAACCCACAGCATAGATTTGGGTTCGTAATCATACGCCTGAAAAACACATAAAACAGTGATCTTTACCTATTTCACGTTTCCCGTTTTCAGGGCTGTCGCTCCCGTGAACCACATTCCTGTTCAAACAACCATCATAATACAGATTTAGTTCAAATGGTCATTGGTCCGTCTGTATCTGGGTTAGTGGTCAAGCCTAGCCTTGTTGGAGTTCAAGGGTTCGAGCCTCACTAAAGATGATATGTGTGCATGAGTATTTGCTTTATATATACTTCAAAAGAAAAGAAGAGAATCAACAGAAGGAAGTCGAATTCCTCAATTCATAGATTGAACGCATAAAAAGAGGCCAAGTCTAACCTTCCGGTTTGAACAGCAAGATCCCCTCTAATCGTGCCAGGTTCAGCTTGAAGTGGATTTGTTGCTCCGATTAACTTACGTGCCGAAGCAACGACACCGACTCCCTCCCACGCCTTAACCAAAACGATTGTTGGTAAGATTTTATTCGAACTTAATACGGTAATGAACTTCTTATGGACAAAAAACGTATGCAAAAGTACCAAGAAACATACCATACAAACAACAGGACCAGATGTAATGTAGCTAATCAGTTTGGGGAAGAAAGGTTTGGAGCTCAGATCCTTATAGTGCTCCTAGAAAACCAATTGCACAAGAAAAAGGATGGAACATTCTATCAATTTCGATCAACCGCAATCAGATATAGATGCAATAGAAAAAAAATGAAAATACACAAGGCTAAACCGATCTAGATGTCTTATTTTACTCCAAAACACCAATTTATAAAATCATCATGACCTTTTTTAACCATAGGCGTCCGGGTCAACTTATGCAAACCTCAATTAATCCCATGGACCCCTAATTATAAACCTTCCAATGACCTGATGAGGCTTGAATTGGTGCCTTTGAGGAGCAAAACCAAGATCTTACCAGTTGAAGTATGTAAGATTGCTACATATCCAACACAAACCTTTTTAAATCTAAAAATTCAAAGAATTCGTGCGGGTTTGGAGTTGGAAATTAGCCCCTTTTGGTCCATTCTGAAAGCTTCCGGATTCTCAGCCTAAAAATCAGGAGGTACCATTGCATAATTTGTATGTAGATCGCTTAATTATGGAATAATCACTCGATCATACATTGGAGATGATCATTTGTAATTTGATGTGTACATTATATATAGATTCAGATACAACCTCTCTATATTATTCAGGTTGGAGATAAAGTCCACATACATCTTACCGTCCCTATACTGTACTCCGTTTAAGATTCACTACGTTCATTTGGTTCGGTTATATAGATTCGAATACACACGACTCGATAAGGGATCAATTCCGTAATCTTTCACACTATACCATCTTCTACTGTGAATATGAACAGAATAACCCAAATTCTCAAAATTGGTGGATAGAAAACAAACCTCTGCCAATTCTTTGGGGCACTCGAAAAGCTTCAAACCTTTCAATTTGAATCCCTTCTTCTCAAACCTAGAAATTATCTCTCCTACCTGTAATAATCCAAACTCGTAATATCAACTTCCAGAACAATAAATCGGCACAATTGATTAACGATTGTTACAATTAAGATGAATATGAATTAAAATTGGGAACTTACAAGCCCTCGTTGAACACCATCAGGCTTAATCATAATGTAGGATTCCTCCACTTCCTGGAATAATTAATAGCAAAGTAATAGGGGTCAAATTGAATCTTCTAGGGTTTCAATACCAGTGATTTTATTGAAACAAGATCAGAAACGGAGATACAGCGGGTGAATGAATACTAACCATGGAAGCCACCAAGTGAGGAAGAAAGATGTGAGTTTTCTGAGGGTTTTTCTTCTTCTTCTCGGTTGCATGAATACGAGATGACAGTGAATTCGAAAAGAGATGAGACGGCGATTGAAATGCGGCTAAATGGCGGAGACTGGTGGCGGACGCGGCGGTTGCGGGTAAGGATAAGCTGATACTGGTACCGATTGAAGATGATAATCGGATTGAAGATAGCGATGGGGAGACACATGGGGACCTTCCTAATGCCATCACGCTCTCCATTTCTCTATCTTCCTTTCTTCCCCCCTTCTACTTCAGTTGACAGTGAAATACTTCATCTGTTGTATATTTCTTCCATTGGTTTTCAATCCCAGTAAATTACAAAAATGGTCCCTCAACTATTTCTCGAAATGCATTTTTCTAATGATAAAAAATGGATTGTTTATCTATATTATCTTATAAACCAGATTTATCAAAAGTTTTAAAAACAATTTTTAATATACAAAATATTATACATTTATGTACAAAGTCTTAAAAATAACTCATAATGCATTAATTATTACTACTTTATGCATTCAGTTTTAAAATATCTTAATCTACAATTAAAATAACATATAATACAAGTTACCAATGCACATTATTGGTTTTTTCTTTTCATGTTTCCAAGATACTTTTGACACATTACACTCGTGTCTTCACCCTCTCATAACTCTATGTCTTCTCCCCGTCCCCTAATGTGAAATACAAACTGATATTCACCATGAGTTATTAAAAGTTCTCTCATTCAATTGTTCTAAAAATCTCGGTCTCGCTCTCGATCTCTTGATTATTTACTCTTGGTGTAAATCGAATACATTTGTGGAGTCGTTTAAATATGTTGGATTTAAATATATTGGATTTTAAACTGTTGTACAATTTTGTCATCGATAAACTGTAATTGGAACCATAACTCTTATTTATTCAAATTGTATTAATATGTAAATACCAACTGTAACTTATATCATCGTTAAATCTGCTCTAATAAAACCAGTGAAACTTCAAAATCGTTAAAATTTACGGCTCCTGCTGCATTGTGCGGATACACAACTAGTGTAATTGGAAATCAAATTTGTACATGTCTAATTTTATTGTAAATTGATGATGAAAAATCAGTGTAATTTTTTATTATGCATAAAATCCTAAATTTATCAAGTATTATATCATATAGTTGAGTTTTGATGAGAATAAAAGTCATGATGAAAAGGGTAAGAAAGAATCTCCATATTTACATCAATCACAGAACCGACGATTAACACCAATGAGATACACTGAGATGAACCAGATTAATACATACGAGAAGCGTAATTTATGAAGTAAGGGTGAGATTAAAAGTATTTTCAAAATTAAGTTTGATCCAACGGTGAAACAATTACTTTACATAATATTCGGTATAAAATGATACATTTTTTTAAAAATAATATACAACTTAAATATTATACCTTTCTTCATTTAGCAACTCCATCAATTGATCCCTTTGTTGGAGTGACTTGTTTACTTATATCCAATTTTATATTTAAAATATTATTTATTATTTCATAATAGGATATACAGGGGTGTTAAGGAATTGTTTATTTGAAACAACTTATGTTTTTCTATAAAAATACTTATCAACTTATTATAAGTCAGAAGGGTTTAACTTATTCAAAAACTTCTTATTACCGGTTTGACACCAGTATAAGTTGTTTATCCGAACACTTAAAAGTGCTTATTATCGATGCCATACTGGAATAAGTCAACAAATTGTTTTTATAAACAATTCCAAACACCCCCATAGATTATAGTTCTAGACTCATCTATACTATATTATAAAACATTTGATAAAAACTTTTAAAAACTATTTTTTACGCATGAAGTACTGTATATTGATGCATATTACTTAAAATTCAAGATTACAAGTAAATTATGCATAAGTACAACTTATTAAAACTCCATGTCTGAATTCGTGTAACTAACTGCGGATAAACATAATCAAATACAGAATAAACATCTCATTTTAAAATATAAAAAATCTAAAATATAATTAGGATAATTATCGAGTTCTAACAGAATCATTATCTTTTTAAAAAATTTATTGTTGAGCCAAAAATGAATTATTTCATTATTTGACCTAAATTAAATTATAATAAAAAAATAAATTATATAAAAACAAGAACTTTTAAATAGTTAATTTGATATTTATATCGATATATTTTTTAAAAATTTTATGATGTCTTCAAATTTATTTTTATTCAAAAGTAAAAACATTGTTTTTCTCAAAACTACATAAACTGTGTTATATCAACAAAGACAAAAAATAAAACGAAACATTTAAAATAATTATGTATCTCGCTACATTACGCAAATACCTTATAGTATAATTAAAAAACAAAAAAGTCTAACCATATTTATATAGTTATGTGTCAATTTTTTAAAGGGTATATTCCTTTCTAAAACCATGGGCTGATACACACATTGTCATTTTTATAGGTTTCTTATTGTGAATTTCTACATCTCTTTATTTTAAACTGAATAGAATAAAGAACAACAGTATATACATACTTAACCAGTTAGCTGAATAACGGGTGACCATTCTTTCTCGATGGAATACAGATTGTCCACTTGGACTATAAGACCAGGACCTCTTCTGCATTCAAGTACAATGCACACCGACATATATGACTGTGTTAGGTGATTAGGTCATAATTTTCTTTCAGGAATAGCGAACATATATGAATGTAGCTGAAAATTGAGATTGTTTTGTATGATTTTGGTACAAAACAACTAATAACACAAGGGCATGAAGAAATGGAGGGAGCAGGGTTTGAAGAGGATGGCAAATGAACAAAAATGGTTAGGGGGTGTTTGTGGCGTGATTTAGGACCAAACTGCAATCTATATTGTATATGCGGTTCGAAGATTTTCCTAAACCGTAATGTATATGTCTCAAACTGTAAAAAAACTGCACTGTGAAATGCGATTCATGTGGTTTATACCTAACGCGTCTTCATATTCCATACAATAAAAAGTTCCGATATGTTCGAAATGTATAACTAAAAATAGTGTGAACAAATTAAGAGTTCCATAATTAATCTAAATACACTTAAGAAGTAAAAATCAAAATAATAGATGAATGAATTATATATTTGGTCCCTCGTGAATACTTCGTTTTTGGTTTTCGTCACTCGAAATCAAAAAGTTCGCTAGTAGTCCAAAAATCGTGTTTCGGAGCCCAAATAAGTCACTCCCACTAACACCGTTAAATGGGGATCCGTCAACTCTATCATGTGCCCTTCACATGAGGGGCATTTTCGCCTTTTCACTTAATTTTAATGTATTTTAGAAAAAATAAAATATATATTAATATTTTTATTATAAAAAATAATGAAAAATCAATGCGCCCCCACCCTCTCCCTGTGAATAAAAATATTAAATATTAATATAGATTTTATTTAGAAAAAATAAGATCTATATTAATGGACGATTTTTCTTTACCTGAATATCATTGCTCACTTTTCTGCTTCCGACCCTTCACGGACGCTTGAACCTTTGTCGCATTCGGTTGATTGTCGTCTCTTCTACTTTTGCACCGGTAGAGAATACAAGAAGCAAAAAAACTATCTTTTTAACGATAAAACTTCAATTGAGAATGGTTATCCAAACACTCGTTTCTTAGCGGAAGATTGTCATACGTAGGACATAATTTGATCATGCAAGTCTCCAATTCAAGCCCTTCACTTTCACTCTTAAGCACTTTAGACTCTTCACTACATAGCTTACACAACTTCCCCCCTTTTAACCATCTCATTTTATATGCGTTCCAAATACCCCCTAAAATGGGGTGTTACAAGTTTCTTCGTTGAAAATTGAAGGCAGATCCAGATTCAAATCGACAAGTATGGTTTCTTCTGCAACTCCACAAGTACGGTTTCTTCTGCAAATCCACGGGTATGGTTTCCAAGTCTGGTTCGAAGGCAGATCCAGATTCAAGTTCGTTGAAGCATCTGAATCATTGAGTATGAATTATGGTTTTTGTTTTCTTTTTCATTTAGATTTAGGTTTTGATTTAAGAACGTTCTTGAATATGAATATGGACAAATTTTTTTCAGTGTAAATCCGATTTTTATAATTGTTTTTTTTAATGCTTTGTATGAATGTTCTTGAGATGGTGGTGAGAATGAAGATGGGTAAAAAGACCAAATTGTCCCTCGTGTGAGGGGCATATGACATAGCCTCATCTAACGGTGTTAGTGGGAGGAACTTATTTGGGCTTCAAAACACGATTCTTAACACATCAGTGTACTCTATGATTTCAAGGGATGAAAACAAAAAATGAGATATTCATGAGGGACCAAATATGTAATTCACTCTTAATAAACAATAAATAATATATTAGTTATTTTTAATTAATTAATAATAATTTATTTTAAAAATATATAAAAAATGTGCCGGTGGAATTTGAACCATGGTTTGATAATTCAAAACCACAACTGCACCACAAATACGATTTGATAAAAATGTAAACCTCAAACAGAGATTTGTGCACTTCTAAAAATACTCCACATTTGAAGCATGGTTTGATAATTTCTCCTATAGGACTGGGTTTCGATGAGAAGATAATGTATAGTGAGAATGGTAAGAAGAGATCTCCACCTTGGATCAATCATAATCGAAGATCAACACTCATGACACGTGCCAGATCACATATAGCGTAATTCATGGGTGGCCAGGTGGGTAAAGTGATTAATGATGGAGATCTCTTCTTATACTTCTCACCTACTCTTTTTCTCACACCATCATTCGTCTTCAAACAAACTATTGTGGTTTAATTTCAATTTCCCACCATCACCAGGTCGTTAACTCCCACCGGCTCTCCAACCTTCTTATTTTAAACTCGTCTTCTTATACGATTCTTCATCGGATTGAGTTTCGGTAAAAAAAAATTGTGATCAAAATGATAAGAAGAAATCTTCACATTTAAATCAATCATAATTGAAGATCAATCCTTATAAGATACACCAAGATGTATCAGATTAAAGGGTCTTTTACCAAACACTTACCCGGTAAGTGTTTACCGGTAAAATTTAACACTATCATTTACTTACTGGATAAGATTTTAATCCACCAAAACGGTATCGTATGCAACAATTTACCCGGTAACCGCTTACTGTGGTAAAAATCATCACCCCCACTTACCGAGTAAGACTCTTGGTCCTTGTCTTGTTCTTATTAGGTAAGATTCTTGGTCGTATTCATCCGATAAAGTAATGTAACATGGTATTCACTTACCTGAATAAACGTTTGGTAAACTACCCCTAATTCATTTCTACAACATAATTAATAGATGGACATAAAAATAGAAAAATGATAAAAGGAAAAAAAAACTATTTTGGTTTATTTTCAAATTCCCACAATCACCCGCTCATCAACCCCCGCCGGCTCTCCGATCTCCCCTCTGCTCGATAATCGAGATCGACGACCGACGGCAGTTGCTACTCTCCCGGGAACCCACCACCGTACCCGGACTCCACCGATCTTTTGGTGTTAGTTAGTAGTGTATCCAGAGACGACCATTCTCTCTTATTTTTCAAGAAAACATTTACTCACACATCTTTGATGCTACAGGAGTTGTGAAATTATTTCGTTAGTTACTACTTAACTTGGAAATTTATTGGATCATGTGAATGTTTTTAATATTCGTCGAGTTTTATTGATTGTAACTTATAAGGCTACTTAATAATTTGTACCTGCAGCTGAAACCCTAGATTTGAATCGTTTGATTAAGAATTGCGAAATTGTGTATGTTTGTTTGTATTTTTATGAAGCTTGGTATGTAAATTGCTACTTTGTTATCCTAGGAACCATTGACTGTTTTGTATTCTGTGAGCCCGTTAAATTTAAATAGCATGCAGGTTCAGATTGCTTGTTTTGAAAAATTTGTCCGATGATTTCAACCATCTTTTTTTAGAAATCCTGGATTCATGAGTACATTAAGGCCTCCAATCGTATTTCCATAACCTTCAATGAAGACTTGAAACATTTCACAGGGCCATCCAAACGCAGGATTGTTTCACCCATGATGCCAAACAGTATATTGCAATAGTTGCCACCCCTTCGCTAGCGGATGTTAGATTTTACCTTATTATGGCATTTCAATACCACGAGTTCATGACAAACTGTCAATATCACAAGTATCTCAACAAAGGAAAATTGCAAAAAGCAGAAAATAAGTACTTCATTATGATGGAAATTCGATTAATCACAATTGTTTTCCATTTTGTCGGTACTAAAAGAATGCTAAATCAGTACATTGTATATACATCCTATTTTTGCACAGCAGATCACCAATAGCTAGTTTATTTCTTCTGTTCATGATTCTTACTCTTCCTGCACTTAGATTTTTTTAAATATTTTAATTAGGGACACACCCAGATTCAGAATCTTTATTTCTATAATCCCCACAAGATCAGTGCCCTCACTAACTAAAATTGGATGTTACATTTCATTGATCAGAGTTGAGCCTTTTCTTTCAACCTTATTGAAGCCTACCTTGTAACCATTGCCTAGATTCTCCCATAACCTGGCAACTTTACTGTTTTATTGGCTGCAAGATCCAAATAGGATGATATCTCTGTTCACTTAACATTTCCAGCAAGAAGCAGCAACAATGGGCTTTGATTTCCAACCGAGAACCAATGAACCCTTTTCTTCCACGATGGTATAACCTTCACAAATCTCAAGCTTTGCAAGCCATTGCTTTGCCTGAGCCATCAACTTAACTGGCGTGGCCTGAAATCCTGCCCGACTCATCCTCCTCCGCCATTGGTCCACCCTTTCATGCCTTTCCACCCTGTTAGGCCCTTCACAACTGACAATATTTTTTATTTCTTCTGCAAAGTAAAACTGTTCAATTTTTGCTCTTCTAGTGTCATATTTAGGTAGCATAGCATCAAGGGCATCAAAAATGGCTGAGTAATAATGCAGTGCTTCCATAAACCTCCCAAGGAAAAAGGGCCCATTATGGCTTGAATCCTGCTCAACAAGAACTAAAACCTTTGGGGACAGTTCATGGATTATTTGTAGAACCGAGTTTAAAGCACCCCGGCTCTCTTTCACCACACAGTGAAGTTGGAGAATGCTGTTTACCACTAGGACTTCGTTCTCATAGGTCTTAATGTCTTCTGGCTTAAGGGTTTCCAAGCTACTTTCCACAAAAGAAATTTCCATCTTTATGCCCAGTTCTTGGGCATATGCCTCCAGCTCATCACCGATGATATGGAACCTGTTAACACAAGGTCCAACTGCAGTGATCCTAAGGAGGCGTAGAGCCTGTCCAGGATGGTTAGCCAGGCTCTCTATCAATGCACGCCACTGGTGTCCATGTGGCAAACCAAGGGTCATCCCAAGGTCCACCACATGAACAAAACTCTCTCCCTCAAAGGCTTCCAATATTGTGAAGTTGGCAACAAAGTGACCAAACTGAATGTGGGGGCAAACTTCATAAACCAGGTGTAAAGCCTCTTCCTTTTTCTCTGATGCAACGACATTTAGGCTCGTTGCTGGGATCGCCAGCCCAACTGCCCCAAGTGGTTGCACCAGGGCTAGTCGGTCTGTGAGCCCCTGCATAAAGCATGATGCCACCCTCTGGAACGATGAACCAAAAACAAGTGCATTGGCTCGAAGCTCGGCTAATAAAGTCGTAGCATGTGCTTTATCACGGCAAGCAACAGCCTCAGCACATGAGATTAGTAGCTGGACGAGATGCATCCCATCTACATTTCCCTCATTTTCTACTGGCCTATTTTCCAAGATCCCATTCTCAATGGCCTCGGCAGCTAGGTACCTTTGTGTGTAAGTCCAGATATGGTCCCGGAATCGGAGCTTAGGGAAGCTATTGGAACTGCTACTGCGATGGATGGTGACATTTACTCCATCTAACAAACTGCTGTTACCCGCACTGGTTTCAGGCATGCTCACAGTTCTTTTCATCTTTTTGTGGCCAAAGGGTATGTTGAACAAGCCAGGAAGCTGCCAATGGGACGCGGGATTGTCCAAAACAGATAAGTAACATTGAGTATAGAAGGGAGAGATTGAGTGATCTTGACCAAGGTCTGCTTCATTAGTAGTGATATGTGCCTGAACGTCATCCTCATCTTCATCATGGGCATACAATGGATTTTCCAAGAAACCAGGAGTACCCACTTGAAGAGATGATTCCAATGACACCCACCTTTCTGCTTTTCTCTTTGTACCACCCAATTTGAATCTTGGATCAACTCCATTGACACCTACTTTGAGATGATTCCATCTTTGGTCACTATAGAGTGGGTGTCCCATAAAAAGATGAGCCATTTCGATCTCTTATCAAGCTATTTTTTAGAATTTGTGTTGAAGTGCTGAAGAGCTTCAATAAGGTTCCCCATAGGCAACGTGAAGCGAGCTTATATAGAACTATTGGCTTTGTTCTTGTTCATTGGAGAAATTTTCAATGATTGAGTGCATCTTCTTAAATGCCAAATGTTTTTCCAATAATATATGATAAATTTTAACTTTAGCTCCTTGTCTTTTGAGAAAATAAATGTCCTTGCTTGTGCAATCCTAAGATGTGTGGGCCCAGGAAGTATTTAAGGTATAAACTAAGCATCAACATTTTTCCAACTTTGTTGGTTAGCCGCTAACAGTTCAGTGATCCATATATCTTAACATACTTGCACCTTGTGTATTAAGTGTTGTACACAGTGTTAGAAATGACTACCTTTGAGCTGCCTGTTATTGATGGTTTTGTCTCTGGTAAAATTTAACCTCCTTGGCCAAGATCAATTTGCTGCCTGTAATTTTTGTTTCTGGTGAACTTAACTTCCTCTGTCAGGATCAATTTGCTGGTAATAACAACACAACCATTTAAGTCGTAAACAGCTGTGATTTTTATGCTATCCAAATCAGATGTGAACTGTTCTAAAGGTTACCATAGAGGAAACTCAATTTATTATAACATAATTACCTATCATTTTGAACATATTGCCATTTTAGTCACAAAGTGCTTTACTTTTTGGGTGTTATAGGTTTGCTTATTGTACAGATCTTGCCTAAAAATGTTGAACAAACAGGCTATGCTTTGGAGGCTTTGAGATGCTATAATCATCTGGTTTTGGCATGATGGGATCCTGTGGATTATCTAGGAACAAGTGCTTCAGTTGAATCGAAGGATTCTTGTGTGGAAAAAAGGAAATAAAAGGTCAGGTTTCTTTATTTTATCCATATATAATCTCTTAGTATCAGGATTGCTTATGTAGCCATGATTGATTAGCTTCAGGCTGCTGGTTGTATAGTTTTTGTTGCAAAAGTGGCTTGACCTGAAACTGACAAGAAGCCTGAAAAACTTGTCTAAGAATTATGCCCAAAATAGGTCAAGCACTTACAAAGGAAAATAAAAAAATGCATAATTTTACTTGCCATAATTAGTTTAATCAATGAGAAAACCAGTCCCAGGTCTTAAGTAGCTAAGCATAAGCAGAGGACATTCTCCAAAATGCTAGGGACAAAATCTGAAGGTTATTAACTCTTTCAATCCTTTTTATGCAGTTCTTGTTTGCCAATGTATTAGGTCCCTCCATTTTGAAAGAGTCCACGTCTTACTTTAAAAGTGCAATTAGACTACTTGTCAGCGTTGAAACCTATGTTGCAAGGACACGTATGCGGGGCGTGAATACTGGAGTGAAAGATTCTAAACAATTGAAGGGGAGTGCTTTTATATATGTGTATATATAAAAGAAAGAATTGATAAATTTAGTATAATGAATAAAATTCATAAATTCCACACCTATATACAATTCGTTATGGATGTGTGTTAGGAAGATAAAAAATCCCTAATTCTATCTACGTCTAATGCCGCCTTGGTGAGTGAAAGGTTGAGAAATAACCAAATGCATATCGACAAAAGGCATTGTTGAGCATTAGGACCCCTATCTATGTAAACAAGAATCATCTTTCAGGTGCTTTCTGCTTGGCTGTATCTATTTTGCCACTCAACACTGCACCTTTATTTTGTTCATGAAGAGATGGTATTTATAATAATGAAATAAACATTTTCCCACAAATCCTGGAAAAACTCTTATAAACTACCCTTTGTACTTTTAAAATCATAGCTTTCCTATAATATTTATTGACCGAGGGAGTATTTTCCATCACAAGCTCTTATACTCTATCTTTGTTTGACAAGTTTAATAAAATGGACATACATTTGCAATCTAATGCTCTATCTTTGTTTGAGAAAGTTTGTAATAGTTTTTATTTTGTGATGCTTCATATTTATCATAAATGCTTTTGCAGAAATTAAGCCAATGTTATCTATTTTCATACTATCAGATGATATATTTTTTTTACAAGGTGGGATTGACATCTTCGTTCCCGTACCCCACATAACTCATGCAATGCACCCCTCCACATAAACCGGACAAACATCCCCTTTCACGAAGAGAGTGTGTGCATTTACAAGTACTGAGGATACTACATGATCTTTATTATTGAACTGTCATTTTTAGAATTTAACAAATAACAACTATATCAATTATATATAAATAATTTTGATGGAAATGGAAGCAATTGATGACGAGTATTCTAACGACTATTTCTTTAAACAATAATGTGAAAAGAAGTTGTTGATTTTTTTTTTTTTAATAATATCCGTTTCTTGTTTATCAAAATCAATGGAATGCTGCCAAGACTCTTGACTTGTTCTCATACTATCTTTTTTCTTTTTCCCTTTTTATCATCTTGATAGAGATAGATGCCAAGGTTTGAAACCTTGTACCCTGTAAACAAGAAAACATTCCAATATTTGGAAAATTAGACTTCCATTTTATAAACTGGTTAGCTGATTCTGGTGAACCAAGGTTTATGGGTTTAGCCATGGTCAAGAATATTAGCTTTGCCATCAAACATTTTGGTTCGGTTATGTGATAGTTTGCTCATCCTTACTTCTAATGCATAAGAGGTCATGGATTCAAATACCCACTTTGCTTGTCTTCTCTAGTTAAGAACAATAGACTTTGTATGCATTCTTTGTATTTTGTAAAAGGAACTTTAGTCCCACGGCCACGGGTTGATTAATTACTCAAATTTAGAACCCTTACCATATTCTTGCGTTATTTAGGAGAGTAACTTTTTGATTAATTTTTTTAATGCATGAACTTCTGACACTTTTTGAGGCATTCTTGGGTTAGGAACTGTTAGGCATATACGTTCTTAAGTTTGTCAGAAAGTCGTGCATCTAAAGTAAATATGTCAAAAAGTTATTCTCCTAATCCGTTTGTTCCATCAATACTATTATAAAGCTGTTCCATTTTGCAAGAAGGTTGTTGCTTGTGACTCAAAAGAGTGATATTTGGGTCATAGACTCATAGTGGGATAAACTTATTGGTTTCTTCAAGTTCTTGTCCCCATCACTTCTTTCTGTTATTTGCATGCTTGTGGTTTGAGTTTATGGAATGGAAAAATTTGGCAAGTTTTCTTCAATATTTAATAGAGAATCATATAAAAGATGGCAAACATAGATGAAATGCAATATTGTTTCCCTACGTGCAACACAATAAAATGTTTCAGTTTTTTATTTTACCCGTTTTGGTTCTGTGAGCAGTAGGACATATTATTCTCAGCATTGTTGTCGTGTTGGTCTGGAAACGAATAATACGGTCGTTTTCTTCCTTTGATCTTGGCATTTTCTGTATGTAGTATCTCTAGTGCCACCACCCATCGTCCTCAGTTTTTGGCAGGGAGGTCATGGCCATTTCCATCAGTCGGCTGCCACAAGGTTGAATCAGTCTGATTCCACATTTTTGGACTCTTAGATCACTTGGTGTAGTGAAGATGGTACTGAGGTAACCCTTTAAGGGTAGATCAAGATCAACCAATAATAACTTGTGTACCGGAACCGGTTCAAGTCCCCTCAGGGCCAGTGGGCCACAGAAGGTTTGCCGTTACCCTCTCTGTTAACTTCAGGGTCCAATGAAATTAGTCAAGGTATGCATAAGCTCGCACACCCGCAGTTATAAAAAAAGAAAAGATGGTATTGTGGTTGTAGTTGGAATTTTGCACTCAAATTACCCAAACACAAACTAGTTTCCATAATTCCATGGCCTCAGGAATTGGACTTGAAGGCCCATCAAAATGCAATAAGATTTGGAAGTTGGGCCTATAAGACACTTGTAATTAGAGATGGCCAATAACCGGTCCCGGGCCGGTCCCAATCGGTCCTCACCATTCTCATAACCGGCCATAACCGGTCCCGGCGTAACCGGTCCCGGTCTCGGTCCTGGTCCCGGTCGAAAATGATAGGACCGCTATAGGTACTTTATAACCGGTTATAGGCCGCCGGTCCCGGTCCCGGTCCCAACCGGTCCCAACCGGTCCTTCATTAAAAAAATAAGATTTTTTATTTTATTTTTTTAATGATATATATTTTTAATACATTATAAAATTTACAATTGGGTCACTCAAATACACTTTAAAAATGCGTTTTAATATAATTAAAATTACGTATTCTTATAAAAATACATTATAAAATTATTTAAAAATATATTTATTTATAAAATTAATTGAATTTTTGGGCCGGGCCGGGCCGATCCATAGTCGGTCCCATAACCGGTCCCGGTCCCGGTCCCGGTCCCACGAAACTACCAAAAACCTTAACCGGTCCCGGTTTTCGGTCCCATAACCGGTCCTTACCGGTCCCGGTCCCGGGCCTTTCCTTTGTCAGTCCCGGTCCCGGTCCCGGTCCTCTGGCGGTCCCGAGCTGGGCCGGGCCCATTTGGCCATCTCTACTTGTAATTAAGGTAGCCATGGTAAATTGGTAATGTACCAATAAGTTAGTAGGTGGGTACCAATAAGTTAGTAGGTGTGCATGGTATTATCTATAACTTAAGGTATCCATGGTAATGTACCAATAAGCCATATATTATATGCAACTTTTATGGCATGCATTATAAGTTAGTAGGTCTGTACCAATACAAACATGTAACGGGATGTAAAATTTTATTGTAAAATCAGAATGAAAACTTAATGCAATTAATTCTTCACTAAAATCCAAAATTTATGTAGTAAATTAGCGTATTATTATGTATTTGAAGTTTTGAATATGTTTATCGGTTGGTTATTAGTTAGTTTTATGGAGTTCAAACGAGAAGTTCTAATAAGTTGTATGTATGCAGTAATAATTCATAAACTTGCGATAAATTTCTCAGCCATCGGTACAAAGACGGGTAACATGTGATGAAAGCTAGCAAGAAAGTAGCCGAAGAAATTGTATCTTGAAAGGATCATAGATATGAAGAGGGATTACAGGCAATGCATGCGAG